ATATTCAGTGGCCAGCTTTACACCTCAGTTGAGTGTTTTGCCCCTGGCATGAGTGGCTTCATTCTGGTTTGCTCTGTTGAAGCCCAATATAGGAGCTTGGGAAAATAAATGCCCCCACCCTCACTCTGCTTCTTTCAACAAGTCTCGTTTAGCGTCTTAGTCATTTAGCCTGAAACTATGTGCACCAGGCTGGCCTCGAACATACAACAGTTCATTCTGCCTGCCTCTACCTCCTGAGTGCTGGGATAACAGGTGTGTCACACCCACTTACTTCGCATCAGTTCTGACAGCACACAATTTATGCTCTCTTTCCTCTCTTGGGCTACTGCCATAGGTCTTTGGTCTCTTCTTGCAGAGCCTCAGCCCGAACTAAACTCAGCCACAGACTTATCTTCAAGATGGCCTCTGCATTATTTCTAGGTACCTTGAACCAATTCCCAACTCCCAACGCTAGAAATAGCTGCTCTGAGGTAGACAAATAGCAGCTGCCTTGGTTGGTATGAAAACCTCAAGTGAGGTATTCATGCCTTCTCAGAGATGCTGAGCCAAACTGGGGGTTGGATGATGGAGTTGGGAGGCTGCAGGATGGAGAAAGGTTGGTAATCTGCCACTCTGTCATTATAAGGAAGGAGCTCAAGGGCCAGCAAGATGGGTCCGAGGGTGGAGGCACTCACCTTGCAAGCCTGATGCCCCGAGTTCAACTCCCAGAACCCGTGTAATGGTGGAGGGAGAAAAGCAAATCCACAGAGTTGTCCTCTGACCTTTGCATGTATACCTCGGGGGCACAGGTGTACCAACACACGCACACCAATAACAACAATGAAATATTTAAAAGGGAACTCAAAAGCTTTTCTCGTATTCTAAGGGGAATGTTACAAATTTTCATAAGCCCCGTGATGGCTATTCTTAGTCGTCAACTTGACTACATCTGGACTTAATTTAAACCAAGTGTCTAGGTACAACTGAACAGAGAGATGAATCCTGACAGGTCCCTCCAGCCCATGGAGGGTGCTATGCAGGCTGGGTCTTCCCACCTCAGTTAGACTCTCTAGAAATGCCCCCACAAGCATCCCCAGAAGTTGTCTCCTAAGCAAGTCCAGGTCCTGTCAAGTTGGCCATCAAGATTAACTCTCACAAGCCTGCCCCTCATCAACCTGACACCCCAGCACATTGTTTTAAATTGTAGCATTCCACTCCTGGACCCCAAAGTCTCATGTTCATCTCATGCCAAATGCATTTAGTCCTTCCTTCAAGTCCAGGCCCAGTGTTGTTCTGTGGTGAAGCAGAGGAGGCTTAACATGTCAGCTCAGGTTGGTTGGGTTTCTCTAAGAGTCTCCTGAGATTCAAATAAATCTCTTACCCATAAGCTCCTATAAAATCAGCAAGTTCCATACCTTAGGTATACAGTGGTGCAGAGGCAACATCATCCCAAAAGGGAGGAGTGAGGGCGTAATAAGTATAGTAGTTAGTCTTCTATTGTAATAGGCCCCCAGACCTTAGCACAACTGACTCCATGTTAGGGGTACCATTTTAACCTTAAAACCCAGCATGGAGGCCCCAACACCCTCCCAAACAGGAACAAAGATTTAATCTACCCAAGACCTAGTCAATGGTTCCAAGATCCAGGAAAGTCCCTAAGTGTTCTAACCTTGCTCTTTGGCTTCTGTAGTTCTGCTTCTTGCTAATGGAATTGTGCAAACCAGGATTTGGACTTGGTGCATAAAAGACAAAGAACTGTGAGGATTGGGGCTGCCTGATTTGGGCAAGTTCCCCCAAGCAGCTGGCAGACAATACAGACTTTCTACTCAGCTTTAAGAATGACTGTGTGCCCTCTGGTGGATTTACCTCAGACTTACCGCTTCTTGGGGAAGAAGGACTTACTTGGCTTACAGGTTACAGTCTGTCATGGAGGGAAGTCAAGGTGGGAACCTGGAGACAGATACAATGAAGGGGTGCTGCTTACTGGCTTGCTCCCCATGGCTTGCTCAGCCTGCTGTCTTATACGTGCTTTTAAGAACAGTGTCTTTGGGTAGGAAGGTTTTTGTGACAGTTAGTCTTGGTTATTAACCTAACAGGAGTTGGAGGACCATTTAGGAGACAACTGTGAGCAGATCTGTGAGAACATTTCTAGAAAGTTTAACCAAAATGGGAAGACGTCAAGTTTTGGGGGACACTTGAATAAATGTACTGGAGTCTGGCACAAGAGAGCCCAAGATCAGCACATTTAAACAGCACAGAACAGCTTATCAATATAATGTACATTTTAGCTCCCAAGTTCTCAGGACAAGAGGAGAATGCAGACAGATTTTTAACCAGACTGTAACATTCTTCTGGTTTATTGAAGTCTCCAAGAGAGCCCTTGCTCCCCTCCAAAATCCCGCTATCCACATGCCTCTCAGCATTCTGTGATTCTTCCTCACTCATCTATATGGCTATAAGCTCCGCTATGCCACACTAGCTTCTGTAGCCAACAGCTCCAGGCTCCTCCACATTCCTCTGTCAAACCAGTTCCAAAAGCCTTTCAACCTCACGGTCAGGTTCATCTCAGCAGGGCCTCACCTCTCACCACCTACTCTGTTAGTCACTTTTCAATTTCCTCTGACAAAAGCAAGTTTTACAAGGACACTTCTATCCTTGTTCATGGTATAAGGGTTCCTGCCCATCACAGGGAGAGCATCGAACATCTGGAGTGGGAGGCAGCAGGTCACACTAGCAGTGGGAAGGCCGAGGGTGCTCCATTTCCTTCCTCCTATTCAGCCCAGGATTCCAGCCCACAGGGAGCACCATCCATTCAGGGAGGTTTCCTCAGTCAAACCTCTCTGAAAATGCCTTCCTAAACCCACGCAGGTGCGGTCGTAAGCTGCTTCTCATTCCTGTCAGGTTTACATGCTTACCCATAACATCTGAGTCTTGTGGATCTCCACCGCATTCTTTCCAGCGTCTGCAGAGTATCCTTCGTTGCCTACTGTGCGAACAGTAAAATGCATTGTCTTTTCCTGTTAAGTGATGCAAAGAAGTTTTACCTTTGAGGAAATGTAAAGACGGTGTCTGGCATTAATCCCCGCCATTTTTAATGTGTTCAAGATTGCTTCTTCTCAAAAGTTACACTTTGTCTGGCAACTGCTCTTTCTGGCTAGCCTTACACTTTGCTTTTCAGCTGAACCCCTTTTAAGTTAGACATCAGCATGTGAGGGCCAAGCTCACTAGGAATAGAAACCCTGCAGGACTGGGAAGGAACACGTGCCTGCCTGACTCGTGGCTGCACACCTTTCAGCAGAAGTACAACTTTTTGTGTTGCCCAAGTGCTTTGGGTGGTGTGGTCATTCTCCCGATTCCCCATACCTCCAAGTCACCATATAGCCATGGGAGAGTAGTCTTCCTTAAAATAAGTACCCTCAGCAAACCCGAGGCCATCTTGAGTTTGGTAACATTCTGTGAGCTGCCTGAGTTTTCTAAGTTCCTAGCAGTGGGAGTGCAGGTCAGAGAAGTGCTTCTTGGAATGTGTAGAATTTGGTAGATAAAGTCTTCAATGTGGCAATGTTTGATGTGGTGGTTTGAATATGGTTGGCCCAGGGAGTGGCACTATTTGGAGGTGTGGCCTTGGAGTGGGTGTGGCCTTGTTGGAGGAAGTATGTCACTGTGGGCATGGGCTTTAAGACCCTTGTCCTAGCCACGTGGCAGCTAGTCTTCTCCTATCAGTCTTCAGATGAAGATGTAGAACTCTCAGCTTCTCCTGCACCATGCCTGCCTTGAGGCTGCAATGTTCCCACCTTGATGATAGTGGATGGAACCTCTGAACCTGTAAGCCAGCCCTGATTACATGTTGTCCTTTATTATTTAGTTGTCTTAGTCATGGTGTCCATTCACAGCAGTAAAACTCTAAGACAGTCAAACATATAATTTTTTTTGTCAACTAAATGACAGTGTAAAATTCATATACATTCAGTTGAAATTATTTCTAATTGGATTTTATCTATTGGTTTGTTTGTTTGTTTGTTTTCAAGACAGGGCTTCTCTCTGTGTAGCTCTGGCTGTCTTGGAACTCACTCTGTAGATCAGGCTAGCCTAGAATTCAGAAAGATTGTCTATCTCTGCCCTCTGAGTGTTAGGATTAAAGGTGCTTCCCATTTGATTTGTTGTTGTTGTTGTTTTCGAGACAGGGTTTCTCTGTGTAGTCCTGGCTGTCCTGGAACTCACTCTGTAGACCAGCCTGGCCTCGAACTCAGAAATACGCCTGCCTCTGCCTCCCAAGTGCTGGGATTAAAGGCGTGTGCCACCACCACCACCACCCAGCTCCATTTGAATTTTTTAAATGTTATATTTAGTGTGTGTGTGTGTGTGTGTGTGTGTGTAGCATGCACAGGTCAGAGGACAACTTCCAGGAGTCGGTTCTCTCCTTCCACCATACAGGTCCCAGGGATCAAACTCAGGTTGTCAAACATTTGGCAGCCAATAACTACCTTTACCTGCTGAACCATCATCTCCCCAGTCCTGAAATTTGGATTTTCATCTTTGCCCCAGACCAATGATAAGATAGCAAAGTACTCTCCTGATCCTAGGCAGTGGCGACTCCCAGGCAGCTGCGCAGCTGCAGAGAGAAACAGGGAGTATTTTGTTTTGTATGCTGCTAGGTAATTGTGTTCAGTAGATTGTCATATTCCAAGCATTTTTTACTTTTTAAAACCCCTTGACTTTACTAGTGGGTTTATCAGGATCTGCGTCACCTTCCTCTGCAGCAGCACACGAGATCTGTTTCCCATCTTACTGACCCAGATTCATGAAACTTCCCAGACTAATAGATGAAAAGTATTTGTTTTGTTTTTACTTTATTATGAATTAGGAAGAACATAGATTTCTTTTCACATTTCATAAGCACTTCGTGTAATTCATTTCTTAAAGTTTTAGTGTTTTCTCTAGAAAACCATCTTCCTACATTATGTCATAAGTAAAATATTTTGGAGAAGACCAAACATTTTAACCCTTGGTTGCCTGGGATTGAGTTAGTAGTATCTTAGCTGGTGTCTCCATTGTTGTGCTTTGGCGAGGTCTTCTGCAATAGATTTAATCATTTGGTCGGTGGTTTTTTTCAATTTGGTTGTTGTCCTTAAGGCATGATCCAAAGGTGAGTTTAAAATCTACAGAGAGAAAGTCCACATATTTTAGTCACATACACTTACTAACGTCTCTGATAACTGGATTCACTCATCATTAAACATTACAAGATGGAATTTTTGGAGCATTCTGTTTCCACACGCTTTTATTTCTGTTTTTGAGGGTTGGTCTCCTAGGCAACCAGTCTGAGATGGAATGTATTTGTCAAGGGAGGGGAGAGGAAAGAGATGAACACGTGGCTGATGAAAGTGAGTCAGAGGGCGAGGAAAGCAGCCTGATGCCCTGTTCCTGCCACAGAGAAGAACGGCTCAGGGAGCCATCGACAAGGACTGAGAGTAGCCACCAACTGACACCGCACATGTATATGAAAGTAACCCAAGGCTGGTGTCACCAGTCTGAACATAGGCAGTACCTCTGACAACAGTCACTGGAACAGACCAGGGTCTTCAGGCCTGGGCCAGGGGAATCCTGCAGAGGAGGTACCACCCACCAAACACTTTATCCAGGAAGTTTCCTTTGGATCCAGTTTAGGAATGATGCAAACCATGTGGCTGTTGAGGCCCTGCATTTTTAGGTTAGCACTGAGCAGAAATTGTTCTTAGCAGAACATTTTCTGAAAGTCCATACTATGGCTTGAAAGCTAGCTGTTCTGTGCTCATCAAGGCCAGGTGCCTGAGCTGCAGGGACTCTCTTGGTCCTCACCTTAGATTCCGTTTCTTCCATGCTGCTACTGGAACATAAGGACTGGATTCTAGGAATCCCACAGAAGCAGCGGTGGGGCAAGGGTGGCGCAGGGTCTGAGGTAGAGGTCAGGGATGTCTTGGAATGTTTTCTAGAAGATAAAAGTGTATTGTTAACCTATGTATGGCATCCCTCCTCCCACATGCATGTTCTCCCTCTAGGCTCCATGAGGGCTGTGTGCATGTGTGCATGTATGCGTGCATGCATGTGTGTCTGTCTGTAGCTGAGGGACCCTACCTTCATAGACTCATGGGACCACAGCTGAGATTCAAGAAAAAGTGGTTGCTGTAGCAATGAGGTCTGTTCTTCCAGAACCACTTGTTCGTTTGTTGTGTTGTTTTGTTTTGTTTCTCCAGAACAGAAAGAGCCAAGACTCCAAAGAAATTCTTCACTTGTTATTCTTTTGGGGGGCCAACCTTTTACCCTGCATATTTATAAAACAAGTGCGCACAAATGCCAACAATACTACCTTGGCTTGAGTTCACCCAAGCACCAGTGGCCGTGCATGACAAGGCAGTGAGGGAATGAAAGCAGAAACTCTAAATCAGTGGTCCCCTCTAGGCCACCTACTCTCCTACATCTGTCATGTGCTGGATGTGGTGCAGGGACACTGGATTCAGGCTGATCACTGCATAGCTCTTCGGAACTGTTCCCTTCATCTATATGAAGAGGGCTGCCACGAGTACTTGCCTGTAGGAGGTCTGTAGCAGAGCCTCGTGCGTATGGAGCCGCCTGCTCGGGGAGGGGAAGTCGCCTTTCCAAGAACAGAGATAGGACATAAACCCAAGATGTCTCCAAAAACTACATTCTCTTGTTGCTTGGCTCTATTTTTTTAGTGATTTATTTATTTGTGTGTGGGAGGGAGGGAGAGAGAGGGAGAGGGAGAGGGAGAGAGGGAATGAGGGAATGAGGGAATGTGTATATATGTGTGTTAAGCTAAAGTTTCAGGCATATGTGCTGGTGTGGGTGCTGGGACTCAGACTTCAGCCCTTTGTTTTGGCGTTTTGTGAGGTAGTCACCTTTTTAAAAAAATATATTTATTTTATATATAGGAGTACACTGTAGCTGTCTTCAGACACACCAGAAGAGGGTGGGCATCAGATCCCATTAGAGATGGTTGTGAGCCACCATGTAGTTGCTGGAAATTGAACTCAGGACTGCCAAGCCATCCCTCCAGCCCGAGGCAGTCACCTTACACAGCCCTGTCTGCTTTATCTCGCTCTGTTGTCCAAGCTTGCCTTAAACTTGCCCATTCTCTTGCCTCAGCCGCAGAGCTCTGATTACAGGTGAGATGATTATGTCTGAGATCAAATATTATATTTTAAATCACTGTACTTTTCTGGGTAGCAGGCTCAGGCTTGAATTTGTCTGGGTGAATAGCCTGGACCATTGCCACTCCACCCTGATATTGGTTCTGTCTTAAACTCCCAACACACAGCTTCTTGGTATCACCCTGAGCCAACCTTCCGTAACCCCAGGAGACTCTCCCGTGGCTGCCTTGTTTGGCCTCTGGCTCCAGTCTCCACTCTCCTAACCCACTCACTAGCTGCAGTGATGTGATGTTTTGTTTTGTTTTGTTTTGTTTTGTTTTGTTTTGTTTTGTTTTATGAGACTGTCTCCAGCTAGCCCAGAACTCACTATGTTACCCAGGCTAGCCAGAACTCCTACTTAAGCCTTCTGAATGCTGGGACTACAAATGCAAGCCACTATGTTTGACCATTACAGTGTACTCTTACAATTCTATAAAAGTCCCTATTTTAAAAGTCCCTTGGCTTCCATTGTTCTGAAGACTCTGAAGATCTGCCTTCGCCTGCTTCGTCTTGCCCCTGCCACTCCCTTTGGGCTCCTGGCACACTGACAGGTTCCTGAACTTGCCCAAGGGCCTTTTCTTCTCAAAAAGCCTTAATCTAGAGTTCTTCACATGTCTCCTGACGTCCTGTGATAGTTCATTCATACTTTGCCTTTGAGCTCAGGTTCCTAAACCAAATAAGGTCAGAAGTGCTCCACACACTCCTTTCTGACACTCACAGCTCCCCCATCAGAAAACAGAGCTGAGGGCAGACACTGCTGCTTTCTCAGCCTCCACGTCGAGCACAAAGCCCTGTCTTCATTGGCTGAACTAACACGTCAATGACTGAAGAAACACCAGATAGGTCTATGCTTGAATTTGAATTTTAGCTATACCAGTGACAGTCCAGGACAAGTATCCTGTCTAGGTAGTAAAGTTGTATAGTGTATGCACCTAACTAATGAAACTCTGTCTCTCTCTCTCTCTCTCTCTCTCTCTCTCTGTGTGTGTGTGTGTGTGTGTGTGTGTGAGAGAGAGAGAGAGATTTTTTTGTACAGTCTTATTCTGCACCCCACTGGCCTCAAACTCACCATGTAGCCCAGCCTAGACTTCAATTTTTGGCTGGCCTCCTGCCTTGGCCTCTCAAGGTTAGAGAAGATGGGCGAGAGCTGTCACACTTAGCTCTGATTCTGTCCTTAGTAATAATAAAAATACTTACCCTGCTGCTGGCTCATGCTCATCTTGAAAGGGTTCTGAGTTCACTCTCCAGGGCCAGATCCATTTTGCTTTTAAACAAGCTGAAAAATGTTAGCTGTGGTTAAATTCAGAGTATCAAAATGACCTTGACCGATCTTTGAAGTGGGGGCCAGCCTGGTATACACTGCAAGTTCCAGGGGCAACAGGAGTGAGATTCTGCCAAAAAAAAAAAAAAAGCCAGGAAACTCCAAATGGTGGGGATGTCTTCCTCAACTTTGCAATATGGATGAAGTAGTTCATAAAAATGTAACAACGGTGTAAGCAACAGCGTTGAGCACAGAAAACAATTTTCTTTCAAGAGCTCGGAATTCATGAAAAGAAACTCAACTTTATTAAGTTTGTATTGCATTCATTGACTGATCATATGCAGGACACACATGCCACTGTGCTCGTGTGCGGGTCAGGGGACACTGGCAGGCGTGGGTTCTCTCCATCACGAGTCCCCGGCACTGAACTCACACCAGCAGGCTTGGCAGCAAGGACCTTCACAGGCTGAGCCCTGTTTCTGGTTTTGTTGAGACAGTCTTACTGTCTCCCAGGCTGGCCTTGAATTCACAGCAGTACTCTTGACTGTCAGTATTCCAGATGTGAGCCATGATGACCAACAGGAAACTTGGACATAAAACTCAAGTAGAGCTCAGGAAACTGAGGCAGGGAGTTGCCATAAGCCCAGGCCAGCCTGGATTGGAGAGAGAGAGAGAGAGAGAGAGAGAGAGAGAGAGAGAGAGAGAGAGAGAGAGAGAGAGA